GACTTGTTCTTTTTGGAGTGGTCAATAGCCTACATAAAGCCAACAAAAAAAACTAAAAATGCTACTGCATCAAGAAAATGCAACGGCTTGTGACACAGGGGAGAGAAAAAGACTTTGGCATGTTATAGGCAGGTCTCAGCCGCCGAGAGGTGGTGCGTCATTTGCACTGTCACCGTTCAACAATCAGTTGGCTGTCTATCCGAGAATGGAACACAAGCACTGTCACTGACCGACCCTGCTTAGGGCAGCCACGAGTGACGATGGCGGCTCAAGAGTGCCACATCTGGTTACAGCCTGTACGTGACAGATTCTGGACAGCAACCCAAACTGATCATGAGATGAGTGGTCCGAGACGATTGAGGGTGAGCGCAAGTATCGTTTGACGCCATCTAGGTGAGCAACACATGCGCGCACACGACCCCTACAGGCATCAGGAGTGTAACATGATTGGCTATAAAAGGGATGTCTTAGAGAGGCTGAGTCTCTCAGAAGTAAAGATGGCCAGAGGCTCTCCAACCTGTGAAGGCTTGCGTAAAAAAAATTGTGGAATACTTTAAAAACAATGTTCCTCAACGTCAAATTGCAAAGACTTTGAAAGTCTCATTATTGACAGTGCATAACATCATCAAAAGATTCAGAGAAACTGGAAAAATCTCTGTGCGTAAGGGACAAGGCTGAAGACCTTTACTGAATGCCCGTGATCTTCGGGCCCTCAGATGCCATGGCATCACTCACCGGCATGATTCTGCCATTGACATTACTAAATGGGCCCAGGAATACTTCAAGAAACCACTGTCTGTAAACACAGTCCGCTGTGCCATCCACAGATGCCACCTAAAACTCTATCATGCAAAAAGGAAGCCATTGTTGAGCATGATCTAGAAGCGCCGCCGTGTTCTGTGGGCCAAGTCTCATTTAAAATGGACTGTAGCAAAGTGGCAAAGTGTCCTGTGGTCAGACGAGTCCAAATTTGACATTCTTATTGGAAAACATGGGCGTTGTGTCCTCCGGGTTAAAGTGGAGAAAGACCACCCCTCCTGTTATCAGCGTTCAGTTCAAAAGCCAGCATCTCTGATGATATGGGGATGCATTGGTGCATATGGGGTGGGACACTTGCATGTTTTAAAAAGCACCATGAATGCTGAACGTATATAAAGGTTTTAGAGCAACATATGCTCCCCTCCAGACGACATCTATTCCAGGGAAGGCTTTGTGTATTTCAGCAGGACAATGCAAAACCACATACTGCAGCTATTACAACAGCATAGCTTCGTAGTAGAAGAGTCCATGTGCTGAACTGGCCTGCCTGCAGTCCTGATCTTTCACCGATTGAGAATATTTGGCGCATAATTAAACAAAAAGTCCGTCAATTGAGACCCAAAACTCTCCAGCAGCTGGAATCCTGTATAAAACAAGAGTGGGATCAAATTCCAATTGCCAAACTCAAGAAACTTGTCTCCTCAATGCCCAGACGCCTCCGCTCTGTGTTAAAAAGAAGAAGGGATGCTACACTGTGGTAAACAGGCCCCTGTCCCAACTTTTTTGAGACCTGTAGCAGCCATCAAATTTGAATGAGCTCATTTTGTGGATAAAATTGTAAAATTTCTCAATTTCAACATTTGCTATGTTATCTCTGTTCTATTGTGAATAAAATACTGACTGGCGTGATTTGAAAGTCATTGCGTTTTGATTTTATTCACAATTTACACTTTGTCCCAACTATTTCGGAATTGGGGTTGTATTTTATTGACAATTTCAATCCCGAATTTTCATGATTTTTTTTATGTTTGCAGCCCTTTTTCTTTACCAACATCCTGAAAATAAACTGAAGTAAGACAGAATTCTAGATGCTACAAGTGTCTTGATTCAGTTGAGCCATAGCCTTCCTCTCTGTGAAGCTGCGATCTTTAATTATTAAGCCTTAAATAAGGTAACAAGAATAGCCAGACTTGGCTTCTGCGCCAAGGGGTTAAGTTGTAGGAACTGTACTGTGGTGCAAGGTCGTCCTCGACTGATTATTTAAATTAATTAGAGACTGCTGTGGCGTAAACTCAATCGCGTGGGACTGCTGTCTGCAGGTTTTTTGGTTCCACATTGAGGAAAATAATACATTCCGTAAAAATAAAATCACAAGTCTTTCATTTCTTATTTTCCATTTATTTGTATCAATTAAAATGTCATTTTTTGACTGATCAAATTCAAGAGTGGAAAGGTATTTTATTCTTAACCTTAAGCTTTTAATGTGGGATTACTTGAGCCACGACATAATCCCCTAACGTTCTCCAAGAAGTAGCTTTGTATGCCATGAATTTTAAAAAAAGCACCTGTGGTGCTGCTACAATGCTTATTGTTCCACATTATGATTAATAAATATATTTTAAGCAGCAGGAAATTACATAAATGGAGCCATTTTATTTAGAACAGTTCAAACCAAAGACTTAGGTGAATCCTAATTAATGAATGTGTTGACACTTAACAATGAATCCTAAGGCGGAAGAAGAAGAATTCAATAAACAAGGTAAATGTTGTGGAGACAAACCAGCATTGTGTTTAATTTTAAGGGAAAAAAATAAAAGAATGTAATTATCTCATATTCCACAACCAAGCCAGGAGCCCATTAACCCCCGAAACTGTTGGCACATATGACCTGGGGCGAAAAAAGTATAATGTGAGGTCAATGAGTTTATTATTTGATGCAGTGCGAATAATATACAAATATGCAATATGCACTTTAAGGATATTTCAAATGTTAAACAAACCTCTAAACTTCAAAAATACATAATTAGGGAAAAGTAACAGCTTGTTTTAGTTCTGGGAATTCAATTCCGGTCAGAACAACAATCACTGCACGAAAGGTTCCTTCAGGGCTGCTGGGTTAGCTCACTGGGTTGAGGCGCCGCATTTGCGGAGCAGTAGTAACTACCATGGCGCGGGTTCGATCACCGGCAGTGGTAGGCAGCCTATTCAGAGCAGCACACAATTGGCTTTTGCGCTGCAGGGATGCACATTGGGAAGGGACTGCTAGGATAGGATCCAAACAAATAGTTGCTTTGTTTGTTGCTCAAGTGCCTCCTGTTGGCCGGCCGGGCGCTCGTCAGTGAGATTCTAAGCTTGCTCATCGAGTATCCTCCGCCCTCGTTCTGCACTTGCAAAGTCTCAACCAATGACTGTCAAGAAGCAGTGGCGCGTGCTTTGGAGGAGAGAGCTGTCTTCGCTCTCCTGAGTTGGCAACATGGGGTTGCATACGAGCATAGTTCTCAAATTGGGCAATCCAGATTCGGGTGAGATTGGAAATGCCAAATTTAAAAAAAAAAAAAAAGTTCCTTCAGGACTGAGTTTGAGGTGCACTGTCGTAAAGAGAGAGGAACATGAGAACAACTTTGGCACGTCCCTGTCGCAACTATCACCACTGCCTCAAGATAGCGCGCAGATGATGTCAATGACAGAGAAAAAACTAGACAGCGTATAGCCCTCTTTCTCATGGTAAGTTTTCATTAACATCTGGTCATGGCAAAACAAAGCATTTAGTGCTTTAAGGGGACTTATAGTCAAGCAAACATTTTTCCAAGATATTCACTTTTTAAACTAATTATTATCAAAATAATTCTATTAGAAATTGCAACTTAAAACGCTGAGTTTATGTAGCATCACTTCAGTGGTTGCCATGGCAACGGCTGTTTTAATGAATATATCGATACTTAGAGAAACACAGTTATTGAGATAACCAAACAGTGTTTGGTTATAATTTCAGCTGTAATGTGAAGGAAAAAACATTCCTTATGTCACTACAGAGCTTTTTTTTCCAGGTTTCTATGTTCTAGTATTGATTTTGACCCCCCTATAGCTAATTAAACAGCTAATTAAATATGCATATTTTGATTTACTCATATTCAGAGGTACATATTGCAAAAAGAGCTCTGTACAGACATAGATCATCACAAAATGAAGAAAACCGCCAAATATGAAGTTAATTGGATTTACAGTTGCTGAGAAATCTGTATTTTTTTGCGATCAATTTTATCAAGGTTTTAAAGTGCTTTTTAGTGTAAAAGAGTAATTTCAGAGCAATTTCAGAACTTAAAGTTTAAGACCAATCAGGCAGAAAGTGAATATATGTCCTGAAAGTAGACTATTTGAAGGACCACTTCATGTTCTTACCTCAAAACTAAAATTTTGAACGAAAATTGGCATTTTGCTTAGCTATAGGTCCCCTTAACCAATTTCGATGCATATTATTTATGTGCCAAAATGGTTATTTCCTGTTGTGCTGTTGGTTGTGAAAATCGCGCAGACCGTTCAGAAATACAGTGCTGTGAAAAAGTATTTGCCCCCTTCCTGATTTTTTTATTTCTTTGAGTATTTGTCACACCTAAATGATTCAGATCATAAAAAAAAAAAATTTTAAGACAAAGATAACCTGAGTACATACAAAATGTAGTTTTTATATGACAATTTAATTTATTGAAGGAAAAAGCTATCCAAACCTACCTGGCCCTATGTGAAAAAGTAATTGCCCCCTAAACCTAATAACTGGTTGTGCCATCCTCCGCAACAACAACTGCAATCAAGCGTTTGCGATAACTGGCAATGAGTCTTTCACATCGCTGTGGAGGAATTTTGGCCCACTCTTCTTTGCAGAATTCAGCCACATTGGAGGATTTTCGAGCTAGAATGGCCTGTTTCAGGTCATGCCACAACATCTCAATCGGATTTAAGTCCGGACTTTGACTCGCCACTCCAAAACCCTCATTTTGTTTTTTTTAAGCAATTCAGAGGTGGATTTGCTGGTGTGTTTTGGATCATTGTCCTGCTGCATAACCCAAATGCTCTTGAGCTTGAGGTCACAAACTGATGGTCGGACATTCTCCTTCAGGATTTTCAGGTAGAGAGCAGAATTCATGGTTCCATCAACTACGGCAAGTCATCCAGGTCCTGAAGCAGCACAGCAGCCCCTGACCATCACACCACTACCACCATGTTTGGCTGTTAGTATGATGTTCTTTTTATTAGGGTCTAGGGGTATGATTCTCGCTTGGGGTGCGAGAGGTCCCGGGTTCAAATCCCGGACGAGCCCCCATTTGTTACCACCTGGCTCATGGCTGGTAACAAAGAGGGAGGCTACACACAGAAAACAATCCAAAATATATTTTAACAGAAATAATCAAACATATTCAACCACTGCTTTAACATTGCAAGTCTGAGAGGAGTCAGTCTTGTCTGGAATGGATGGATGAGTGAAAATGTAGTGTAATGCAAGTGGTGGATGCAACAAACCAAACAAAGGGACAGGTGAGGTAGCTGTAGCAGGCCCGGCTGAGAGAGACTACTCTCAGAGGGGCGGGCCTTTAAGCCTTCTGGAAACCCCGCCCAGCCAGGCAGGTAAATGAGACTACCCCTCCCAGCTCCGCCCACATACCACTTTCAGGAACCTACAAGCAGCAGAAAAACAAGACTGAGGACATCAGAACATGACATGCAGGCAGAGCGGGAGGGGTCGTCACATTATGAAAGGCTATGTTAGTTTTACGCCAGATGAAACAGGATGCACACCTTGCAAGAAGTTAAATTTTTGTCTCGTCAGTCCACAGAATATTTTCCCAAATGTCTTGGGGATCATCAAGATGTATTTTTGGCAAATGAGAGACGAGTCTATGCGTTCTTTTGGTAAGCAGTGGTTTTCGCCTTGGAACTCTCCCATGGATGCCATTTTTGCCCAGTTTCTTTCTTATTATTGAATCATGAACGCTGACTTTAACTGAGGCAAGTAAGGCCTGCAGGTCTTTAGATGTTGTTCTGGGTTCTTTTGTGACCTCCTGGATGAGTCATCGACGCGCTCTTGGAGTAATTTTGGTAGGCCTGCCTCTCCAGGGAAGGTTCACGACTGTTCCAAGTTTTCTCCATTTGTGGATAATGGCTCTCACGGTGGTTTGCTGAAGTCCCAAAGCCTTATTAATGGCTTTGTAACCCTTTCCAGACTGATAGATGTCAATGACTTGTTTGTGGCATGATGTGTTGCTTTTTGAGATCTTTTAGCCTACTTCACTTTGTCAGACAGGTTCTATTTAAGTGATTCAGCAGGTCAGCCAGTAATCAGGCCTGGCGAAATTGAACTAAAAAAATGTGCTTAATCACAGATAATTTGTGATTTAACAAGGGGGGCAATTACTTTTTCACATAGGGCCAGGTAGGTTTGGATAGCTTTTTTCCCTTCATAAATGAAATCATCATTTAAAAATAGGACCAAGGGTCCTGTAGCTTACCGGCAAGCAGTCTTACAGCGATGATACAAGTTATGAAAATTTCATGTGAAGTTTGACATTTGAATCAATGAAAATCAATGTCAAGGTCACTAAAGAAAAGTTCACATACATTTATAAGACCTTCTGTAATACAATCCTAAGCTCTGAAGCAGTTTTAGTGATACAAGTCAGTATAATATGTCAATATGTATTCAATATGTCAATTGTGAACTTTAAAGGTCACAGAATGTCAAGTTGAGGTCAGCAAATGGACTTCATATATGACTTTCTAAATGTCTCTATACAAACCTTGGCTCAATCTGTGACCATTTTGGTGATACAAGTCATTGTAATTTTACTGTGGAGTTTGACCCTCAAAGGTCACTGACAGTCAAGTTGAATGTCACCAAATGAAAGTTCATATGTGACTTCCTAGATGTCATTAACGCAAACTTAGGCTCCATCTGTGACCGTTTTAGTGATACAAGTCATTGAATTTTCACTTGGTCACATTTGACCTTTGGAGGTCAATACGAAGGTCACCAAATGAAAGTTCATATATGACTTCCTATATGTCTGTAATACATACCTAAACTCCATCTGTGACCGTTTTGGCAAGACAAGTCATTGTAATTATATTATGTCAAGTTTGACCTTCAAATGTCATCAACAGTCAAGCTGAATGTCACCAAATGAAAGTTCATATGTGACTTCATATGTCAGTAACACAAACCTAGGCTCCATCTGTGACCTTTTCAGTGATAGAAGCCATTGAATTTTCTCTAGGTCAAGTTAGACCTTCGAAGGTCAATATGAAGGTCACCAAATGAAAGTTCATACACGACTTTCTATACTTCTCCAGTACAAACCTACACTCAATCTGTTACAATTTTGCTGATATAAGTCATTGAAATTTCACTGTGAAGTTTGGGCATTCAAGGTCACTGAAGGTCAAGTTCAAGGTCACCCTATGAAACTTAATACATGACTTCCTATATGCCCACAATACAAACCTAAGCTCTATCTGTAATAGTTTTGGTGATAGAAGTCATTGAAATTTCACTATGTGAAGTTTGACCTTCGAAGGTTGCCGAAGGTCAAGTTCACGATCACCAAATGAAAGTTCATACATGACTTCCTATAAGTGTTCAATGCACATATGTTCCCAATTTTCAATATTTTCAAGCCAAGAAACCTTTGAAAATTCAAACATTTCAAGGTCATCTGAGGTCAACTTTAACATAGCCAATGTATAGGTCATATATTACTTCCTATATGTCAGTAATACAAACTTAATCTCTATCTGCAACCATTTAGCTTCCACAGGCGATTTGGCCCATTCTCCATAAGACCCAATGTTAAAGTACAGCGCCCCCACTAGACCCACTTCCGGCGATTCAATCAAAATGGCACTTGCACTGTACATAAAGTGTATCAAAGTGAGTTGATTGCCAGATTTAGAAAAAGTTATCAGTTTTTGATAAAGAATTTGTTGAAATTTCAAGTCATATCTTTTAACATTCCCTGACCTCGAGTTTGACCTTTCAAAGTCATCTGAGGTCAACTTTAACATAGCCAATGTATAGGTCATATATGACTTCCTATATGTCGATAATACAAACTTAATCTCTATCTGCAACCATTTGACCTCCACAGGCCATCTTGCATATTCATGAAGTACAGCGCCCCCAATAGACCCACTTCCGTCGATTCAATCAAAATGGCGCTCGCACTGTACATTGACGGTACCAAGGTAAGTTGATTGCGTGATTTAGAAAAAAATTTATCACGCAGTTTTTGAGAAATAATTTTTTAAAATTTCTCAGTCCCATCTTTAACATTGGAGCCAAAATTTCAAGGGCCCATAAAACGGACAAAAATGATTCAATCAAAAATCCGAGAAAAAGGGCTGGAGATATGGTCTAGTAGTATGTTATTACAAATTTACGCGAAAATTCATCTGGCCAAAAACAAGATAAAACATGTTCCGGACGACGGACAACGGACGCCAGACGTCACACCACGACAATAGCTTATCAGCCCATAGGGCCGGTAAGCTAAAAACTGCATTTTGTATTTACTCCAGTTATCTTCATCCAATATGAAAATTTGTTTGATGATCTGAAACATTTAAGTGTCACAAATATGCACAAAAAAAATCTGCAAGGGGGGAAATACTTTTTCACAGCACTTTGTTTTTTATTCTCTCTAAACTATTTGATTATCAGTTTACCTGATTTTGATAATATAGGTTATATCCTGAAAGCTTTCACTTATAAGTCAGACCTTATTTGGAAAGTGGCCAATAGCAACCAAATTTTTTTAGATTATTTATTTCTGAACAGGGATGTTTATTTTTTTATTTTTACAGTGTGGTTTGCTATGACGGGAAGCTAGCGCCAATATTATCACGGCGGAATGCTGGGTGTTGTGCTACACAAAGGTACATATTGCCACCTAGTGGTTCAACTATAGAATACAGTTGCAAGAAAAAGTATGTGAACCCTTTGGAATTACCTGGATTTCTGCGTAAATTGGTCATAAAATGTAATCTGATCTTCATGTAAGTCACAACAATAGACAAACACAGTCTTCTTAAACTAATACCGCACAAACAATTATATGTTTTCATGTTTTTATTGAACACAACATGTAAACAATCACAGTACAGGGTGGAAAAAGTATGTGAACCCCTAGGCTAATGACTTCTCCAAGAGCTAATCGGAGTCAGGAGTCAGCCAACCTGCAGTCCAATCAATGTGATGAGATTAAAGGTGTTAGGTAAAGCTGCTCTGCCTTATAAAAAACACACACCAGTTTTGATTTTGCTATTCTCAAGAAGCATTGCCTGATGTGAATCATGCCTCACACAAGAGAGCTCCCAGAAGACCTACGATTAAGAATTGTTGACTTGCATGAAGCTGGAAAGGGTTACAAAAGTATCTCTAAAAGCCTTGATGTTCATCAGTCCACGGTAAGACAGATTGTCTATAAGTGGAGACAGTTCAGCACTGTTGCTACTCTCCTAAGGAGTGGCCATCCTGTAAAGATGACTGCAAGAGCACAGCACAGATGCTCAATGAGGTGAAGAAGAGTCCAAGAGTGTCAGCTTACAGAAATCTCTGGCACATGCTAACATCTCTGTAGACAAATCTACTATCAGTTAAATATTAAACAAGAATGGAGTTCATGGGAGGACACCACAGAGGAAGCCACTGCTGTCCAAAAAAAAAAAAAACATTGCCGCACGTTTGAAGTTTGCAAACGAGCACCTGGATGTTCCACAGCACTACTGGCAAAATATTCTGTGGACAGATGAAACCAAAGTTGAGTTGTTTGGAGGGAACACACAACGCTATGTGTGGAGAAAAAGGCACAGCACATCAACATCAAAACCTCATCCCAGCTGTGAAGTATGACGGAGGGGGCATCATGGTTTGGGGCTGCTTTGCTGCCTCAGGGCCTGGATGGATTGCTATCATCGATGGAAAAATGAATTCCCAAGTTTATCAAGACATCTTGCAGGAGAACTTAAGACCATCTGTTCGCCAACTGAAGCTCAACAGAGGATGGGTGACGCAACAGGACAACGACCCAAAGCACAGAAGTAAACCAACAACAGAATGGCTTCAACAGAAGAAAATACGCCCTTTGGAGTGGCCCAGTCAGAGTCCTGACCTCAACCTGATTGAGCTGCTGTGGCATGACCTCAAGAGAGCGATTCACACCAGAGATCCCAAGAATATTGCTGAACTGAAACAGTTTTGTGAAGAGGAATGGCCCGAAATTCCTCCTGACCGTTGTGCAGGTCTGATCTGCAACTACAGGAAACGTT